GGGGGCGGGGCGCTAGCGGGGCGAGAGCGCAGCAGCACCGGGGTCACAGCGAACGCCGAGGAACGCTGAGCGGCTAGCGGTAAGGCTGCCGGACGAGGTCGACCTCAACCGGAATAACAGGGAAGAGTCTGTAGCGCCGTGGCTGCCTTGAATGTTTTTATCAGTCACTGTTAGCCTCACATGATTATTAGGGTCACAAAGACTTAGCTGCTGAAAAAATGGAATTTACAAAAAAAAATAAGGAAGGAGGAGACACTCGGGAAGTGCAGGTAAGCAGGAAAACGTCTTAAGTAGCTTCTAATGATAAAAATTGATTTTCGATAATCTGTTTTCAAGTGATAAAAGCAAACGATCACCTCTGGTTGATTGGATTTCGAAATGCAATAAACAATCTTTTCGTAGTGTTTATAAAGTTAAACAAAAAGATTTCCCGGTTTACCTGAAACAATTATGCGTAGTTTTGGCGCCTGAAACTGGTTGGTTCAGAAGTCTTCTGCAGTCACAGTGAATAGGCACAGTTTGATCGCACAAGCGATGGGTGATGTAGGGAGACTTTATACTTTATAAGAGCTGTCCAATGTCCGTCAGTTTAAGTGTTCGAATCAAACGCACGCTGTTCATTCTACCTTCATCAACCAGACTTCGACCTCTCCGGAAACTACTGAGATGACCGGTATTTCTTGCTACGTCTTTCTTCGTATTCCGCACGTGGGAAGAAAGTCAATGAATGCACTAGGGGTATAGGACCTCTCCTTTCTTCGGCGAACGCAAGACTGCCCCTCTAAGATGATCCTGGGCAGTGTTGTTCACTATTCTTGATATTGTTTAATTCTGTTTTCAGTTAAATTTTAATTATAAATTAGTAAACACTACCCTTGTATAATTAAACGTTGTTGCGCACATATTTATTGCCAGGGGTTATTAAACCAGCGGCAAAACGTCCATGGTGCATATTGTGGGTAATGTGGGTAATGTATACAAAGGAGGTGTCTGCATTTGCACACGTTGCAGTTGCTCCTGATTTTTAGGCAATCCCAGATGCATAGATGTTCTGCAGGTCATGAATTTTCCTTCACTGCGTCAAAACGCATCATGCTGAACATCTGTGCATAATTGTGCATGCGTTCACTGAAAAAAAAACTTTCACATACGAATGTCATTTTAGTTCATGATGTATCTGGTGCCGAACATCTTTGTGTATGGATGTGAGCGTTCACTGAAAGAAACTTTTACGTTCACGATAAAAAGAGTTTTTCTGTCGAAATACAGCAAATTTCCGGCGCATGATTACAAACATTTCTGATTTCTATTGAAGTAGCGATGTGAAAAATTTAAAATAAATTGAATATAGACATAGACCAATAATTTATGAGTTTATGAAAGTTAAACTGTACTACTTTTGAGAAAAATACTCATACCATTCCTTTCACGTAAACAAAGTTTCTATAATTTAATGCTTCTCTGAAGTTTGTGCAGCCCAAATAATTAAACAGTTTGTGTACTTTAATTTTCGAGCTGTATGTTTCTTTCACGTTGATTCAAAATTTTCCGTTCTTTTACTTTGCGTGTGAGGAAATGTCTTTCTGACTCCCTTCCCGACTGCATGAATGATATTTCCGCTGCAATGTCTTATTCACGTCCAAAATGTGAAGTCAAACAGTAATACTTTTTATGAAGAAATGTCGTCACCACGTAGAGTTAAAAAGCAAGATGAAAATATTGCTTGTCAGCTCGTACTTCGCGCTGCTTTTAATATTAAATAGCCTTAAAATTCCAATACAATGAACTGATCGTCTAAAGTCCGTGAGAAAGGAATACCTTAGATAACGAGATAAAATCAATTACAATGCATTCTATTGCAATCATGTCATTTAAAATTTACTGAAATGCTCCAATGTATGTTGTTACTGGATATAATCCTTCGTCGAAAATATGAAAACGCGTTCTACAGTTCCACTTTCTTAAAACTTTTCAAGAGTAAGTTTGATATAGTCTGCCACTCTACAGATATATCACTACACAGTGGCGGAATTTATGACGATATTTCATGTACGGTTGTTTCTCTGCCATCCAATTAGGTTGTTATGTCTAGAACTGTTTATACACAAAGGAAGTAGAAATTACCTTTCCATGTTTGTTCTGGAAGATAAGAAAAGTCAACTAATTTATAGCACTACGAAGTGGTATTTTATGTTCTCTCAGGACAGCAAATGATACTTCACCTCGTGAAATATCTTTGGTCTTCTTTTATTATTCTCTCTAAAACAAGGGTCAACTGTAGGTCCTTCACGGTCGTTTTGAAACTTAACGCTGTCAAGACTTTCTCAAAATGATAGGTCTGTTGCTTCAAAAAGACAATCTGGGCAGCAAGACATGACAGCGGCTGTTATATCATACGGCGTGTGGACATCATTTAAGAGCTGATTTGAAATTCTTTCTTATCGTTCGCTGCCAACACATCTGGAACCAATGCTTTGGCAACCATTTCTGGCTCCCATTCAACTATATGAAAACGATATTGCTCGCTCTAAATATTGCAGTGTCTAATAAATCATTTCAAATAATACACGAACTCTATCGGGACCCTATGCGTATTTTTTCATTGTTTCATGGGTTTGAGCAAATAAATTGAGCAGCGAAATGTAAAACAAAGCAGCATTTCGATATAGGCGTTGAAATATGCAAAGTAGAACATAACGTAGTAGTAATTAATACAATTTTGGTTCATTACGTCAATTCTGAACATTAATAATTTAATACTTCAGGTCAATCAATAATCAGGAATTTATCATTAGGATAACAGGAACTCTTGAACCACACTTGAAGAGCCCATCTCGAAATCATTGTTTCAAAAGATTACTACAACTGTAAAGTTATTGATAAAATGATAAGCCTATAGAGTTTCATATTGTATTTTAAATTATGATGTATTTCTTTAAAATGACGATAGAGAAATAAGACAAAAGAATCAAATAAAATTGCCCACGTTGATATTATGAAAAGAGAGAAAATTTGAAAAGTGGAAATATAAAATTATGTTACTTCACTGATTTGAGATGTAATGGCATAAAATGTTTCGGGTGGTAAGGAAAAGTCACTAAAAAATAATCAAGGTTGTAGTTAAGGGCAAATAATTTAGTGTGGCAGAAGAGTAGGTAAGGCTTAATGCTTTTACAAAATCTTCACTGGAATAAGAATGCACAAAATGACCCAAAACGTTTTGAACCAAATCCGTATGGATTATGTGAGAAAGTAGGAAAATAAAATTTCTAGGGCATCTATGAAAGTCAAGTATGGTTACGGTTTCATAATGAACATGGAGATTTCATAGAATGTGAAATGCATTTGATGCGTATATATGAAATGTATAGTGAATTTACACTATTGCGCACACTTGCACTAGCGTTTGGCAGGTAACGCTCTGACGCAAAGACATTTCACATAAATGAAAAGCAACTCATGATAAAATTTATATGAAAATTCCCACCACAGGTTCGTTGCAAAAGAGTCATCATCATCGACCCAATACATGGTCTAGAAGTTTCTAACATTTATTCTAACACGTTCCATATTACAATATACACATTATCCATAATATAGACACATTTTTGAAAGAAGGGACCGCGTTCACAGCTACGGTTGGCTACTGCTGGCTACATTAATGCGGGTTATGTCTACGCTCTCAATTGCGTTCATTTACAGTTATCTCATTTCTAAATCGTTTCATCCCTATCTCTTGCAATGCCATCACTCTACATGACGTTCATTTGTTTCCCGACCTTCCAAACTGGTCGCATCTTAGAGTAACTCCTCTTCACGTTAGTCTATATATTTCACTAAAATCTGTCTAAACCGAAATCTGCCCAAGCGGGAAGCCAGCCTTAACCAGAAATTTTTCTCTGGGCTGTGAAATGATATGGCATTTTACACAGCATAAAATGGAACATGTCCAACGCGGAAACGGAACGAAATTCATGACCTCCGGGTGGAAAAAGTTTATGAAACGTAATTCCTGTGAATTGAATGTAATTTTCAGAGAGACGCAAAATATTCTTAATGGAATAGATGCATCTGCGAGTCTGTTTTTAATTCTCTGTCCCTGTGTAGTGTGATTTAGCTGTGTCAGGAAAGCCATGAAATGTAGAATTAACGCTATTATAGTTATTATTGATTTTATTTTTTTTATATTATTATTATTATTATTATTATTATTATTATTATTATTATTATTATTATTATTATTATTTTATTGTCGTTGTCTTAAAATAATCTAAAATAACATTGTATTAATATTCCTAATAGCAATATGTGAATTGCAGTAATCGGCCACCAGGCTGTGTAAACCTAATAACTCGCTCTAGGCATGCGACTCACCGGCGGCCACCACCTGGAAGACGCACGGCGTGCGCTGGTGGCCCACCACGTTGGAGCCCCAGCACGCCAGCGTGCCGTAGTCCATGTCGGACACGGGCGTGTAGTTGAGGCGCGACACCTCCCCGGAGCTCGTGTAGCGCGTGGCGGGCACCTCGGTGAGGTCGCCCGAGTTGTTGAAGGTCCAGTGGAAGGTGACCAGCGGCGGGTTGGCGTCCACCTCGCAGCGCAGGGCCACCGTCTCGTGCTTGAGGGCGCCGTACAGCTCCTCGCGCTCGTCCTTGCACGTCGGCACGTCTGCGCACGCACAAACACACACCAAGTCATTAGCAGAGGTAGATTTCCATGGCCTAAAACATCGCTAGAACCTAATACATAAAAGACAATGTTTGTTTATTTGTTTTTCGTTCGTGCTCAATGCACTACCATACCCTTCAACCTATTGCGATACAACTTTGCCAACTTATAGCTTTCACATCTATATATATTCCAAGAATATAGGCATGGTACGATGGGAATGTGCATTTCCGGGCGCACACCGTCGCCAATACATGTACATTATTTTGCAGCACCTTGCCAGATGATTAAATTCGATACAAAAGTTTAAGTCCCAAGTATAATGTTTTCTGCTGCACAACTGTTTCTGTTCAATTACCGACTATACCAAGCATACAAAAGGAAATAAATATTAAATTTAACAACGAAATTTAGTGTACTATTTACCATTTGAATTGTATAATTCTAAAGAACCTGTAAAAAGTGTTGTACTTCAACTTCTGGGTCAATGAACCCTATATCGATCAGGTTTTCGTTTAGTTTCCCTGACCCTTGAGCAAAGCCGCTGAGATGGCCGCTTGTTTTGCTTCTGGACATAAATGTAACTTCAATTTAACTTCTTCCCATTGCATGCTACACACAGATTTTAACTGTTTTTGAGGTAAATTAATAAATAAATTTTGGCAAAAGAGAAGGCACGCCTTTCAAGAATATTTGTCTCAGCTGTTTTTAAATCAATAAAGAAAATAACCGATGTTCAAACTATAGTAAAATACATCCCACAAGAATATCCCTATTTCTACCAGACAGTTTTGACATATTCACAGACTCAACTGAAAATCGATGATGAGTATTTGCTGATATTATTAATTTTGTAGGAATATTTTTCATATCCACATTGCACATTATGCTAATTCACATTATTATATTAGTCCTATGATTATATTACTTCATAAGTCCAAAAATAAAGAAATAAAAAAGTTTTTAAAAATTATTTTGTAATGGAAATTAGTGAACGGTTTAAAAGCGATCATTTACATCACAGAAACGCAAATTTGAAGTTACAGAGTAGTAGAAGCAATCAATTACGACTAGCTCTACAACTTTTGTGCGGCACATAAATGTCCCAGATGCCAACTGTGGACGTTATGAAGGTTTTTTCTTAGAACTGTGGAACAATAAGTTGTTTCCCGTTTCAAATCACCGATTCAATTGCATTTTGCATTGCCAGAATAAGTGGAAACATCCATGCAGTACGCCGATTCCCTCCCAGAGCAAATAATAATACAACCAATTACGCCACCTAGGTCTCATTTTGCCACTGGGGAGTTATGATCATGGAGTAATATAGATGCAGTAATGAATAATGGGAGGCATCGCAATTTTAGTGCGTTGTATTATGCAATATTAAGTACACCCTTACCAGGCTCGTGTCCATAGTACATGCATCGCATCTTTTATGAACTCTTGATTGGACAACTGGTTTTAAAATTTTCAGTAGATGCTTTATAATAGTTGAATATTTGTATTAAAAATGAAACAATATTTGTAGTTTCCACATCTAAAGGAATCATGTGCGTTGGGCTGTATTCTATTATGCATGTATTTTTAGTCGCAGCGGGAATTAACTTAGTATTACGCAATAACAGTTGCCTCTCTGCAAACCTACTTCTCATTTCCTCTGTACCCTTTTATTGCTAGCTATTACCACACAACGTTATGAGAGCGTATAAGAAAAGTTTCCAGATAAACTGGAGTTAAAAACAAGCGTATTTCACACTAGACCTCTTTCACTCTTCTACAACATAGTTTTCGGAGAGAAGTATAAATGATGCAATTCTAAGCTTACTACACGGCAACGGAAAAAACAGACCCACTAAAGCAACGACGCACTTTAATTCACCCAACACGCTGTATGAGCTTCCGCGCAGCAAGACAAGCGGTGGGCGAGGAGGGAGAGGGGTGTCGGAGGGAGCGGAAGCGGGGGACTGGGCGTAGAGAATGCGAAAGGAAACCAGGAGCGAGCCGCACGGTGCGCGAAGCGTCGCGCCGGTTAAGAAATGCGCCAGAAAAAATAGGACAACAGCAGGCGGCCAAGGGTGCGGGGGCGGCGGGAGGGGCAGCGGCGGGGGGTGCGCGGGCCGGAGGGCGCCAGGCGAAAAGAGGAGGACACCGTTGGAGAGAATCTCTCAGCAGCAGCTGCGGGGGAGCGCGGGCGCCGGAGGACTGAAGAGGCGACGAGGGCCTACGGGAGACGCGAAACACGCGCATTGCGGTGGAAGGGACGCGAGAGATACGATAGGAGGTGAGGAACATTTTGGTGCGACGGGGATAGGACGAAAGGGACAAAATAAAGAATGAGAAAGAAGAAAGATATAAGGATGCTCTATTTCACCGATGGAAAGAGTAAAAAGAGAGAGTAGGAAATACAATGTGTGTAAGTAAGCGTGTGTGTGTGTGTGAGTGAGAGAGAGAGCGAGAGAGTGAGAGTGAGGGGGGGGCAATCAGACCCAGACATATGTGAAAGAAATTGATGGGACGGCAAACTCAAATGGGGGGGGGGGCATTCAAAGTGATGTTGAGAATAGAAAAATGTGGCGCGAGAGACTATGCAAAAAGGGGACTACATGAAGACTACTGAAAAGAACAAGAGGCACCACGAGTTGAAAAAAACAAAATGAAATATTCGTAAGATGAGAAGAAGTGGACAAACCGATAGTGCGACGGACGTGGGGGAGAGGCTGAACAGAACAGGCGGCGGAAGAGAAGAGGCGGCAAATTGACGTCGGAGGCTGGAGAGGCAGGCAACCGCATTGTGGTGGATGTTGCGTAAGATTTTTTTTTTTTGTTATTTAAGGTCGCATAAACTACTAGGTCATTATCGACCACTATTGCTTGTAACGGTATGGTAACTGTGGGTTGACACGATAATGATGATAGGGGGTGAAAGGACGAACACAATACAACCATTCCCGAGGCGGGAATCGAACCCGCGATCCTTCGGTCCGAGTTCGCTACGGCACTACTGCCTTAGCGATCTCGGCCACCGGAGCGGAACGTAAGATGTTTGAGGAAGCCAACAGGTAATTGATAGGTTCATGTAAAAAATTCAAGGGAAACGACATTGGTATGAACACAAGGGATGGCGAAGAATAAGAGGGAAAGATGTGGAGCGAATGTGAATGAAGGATGAAAAACAAAAAAAGAAAATGTCGAAGATTGTGTATGTGTGCGCCTTTGCGTGTAAATATGTGGGTGTCCGAGAAAGGGAGAAAAACTACTGTACGGGGAGAGACAACATCGTGGGAGAAAAATAGCGGATCAGGATGCGGAAGATCAGAGAGGTGAAACGAAGAGCCTGAATGGAAACGTGCAAAGTAATAGAACAGGAATACGAAGTGAATTGAGCGCAAGGGTCAGAAGGGTAAGAAAAGGCAGACGCTGCGTCGTAGCGAAGCCTTGGAACCCAGACGGGCAACCTTGGCGGGCGGAGTGGAGGCGGGAAGTGAGCGCGAGATCAAAGGCTAGAAGCGGGGACGGTGCGAGGCAGGCAGGTTGCGGACTCTGTGGTAGGCGGGGAGGGAGTGAGGTGGAATAGGGGGGGAGGAGGGTGTTGAAATAGGGAGAGCGTGAGGCGGAGAGCGGGGCGTGAGGCATGGAGGGGTAGACGAAGTGCGGAGCGTGATGCAGTGAAGGCTTGAGGTAGGGAGAGCGAGAAGCGGGGAGAGCGTGAGGCGGTGAGAGCATGAAGCGGGGAGAACGTGAGGCGAGGACTGCGTGAGGTGGAGAGAGCGTGAGGTGTGGAGAGCGTGGGGCGGGGAGAGCGTGAGGCGGGGAGAGCGTGAAGGGTGAGAGCGTGCTGTAGGGACAGCGTGAGGCGGTGACAGCGTGAGAGCGTGAAGCGGTGAGGAGTTGAGGGGAAAAGGACGGTGGGGGCGCGAGATAGAAGACGTGAGGCAGGGAGAGCGAGAAGGGGAGAAAGTATGAGACGGTCAAGATGAGATGTGGCGTAAAGGGGACGCGGCAAAGGAGACGCAGAGGGCGCAGGGCGGCGAGGACGCGGGAGACGGCGCGGAAGAGGACTCCTCTGGCAGCGCCCTGAGAACCGAGGACGGCGCCGAGTTACGAGCAAAAAACCGTCGAGCGGGAGGGCGCGCGGTCGGGCAAGTTGCGAGCGCGGTGCGGCGCGTGCGAAAGTCGCCATATTGGGGCATGGCTGGCGCATGGCTGGCGCAAGGCTGGCGCGAGGCTGGCGCGGGATTGCTTCTCTCCCGGCCCATTGGTCAAGGCGCTCACCCGAGCCGTTGCCGCTGACGAATGTCTCGAGGGCGCGCGGGAGGTCCCCGGCTGCGACGTGCGCTTGGGAGATGCGCGCGCGGGAGGCACATTTAGCGAGATGGAATTTCGCCACAGCATGCCACGACGTCGTTCTTTAAGTCGTGTGTAGTGAAATGTAGAAGGACACGAGAAAGAAAGGTGCTGATATTTCGAATTATATATGATAGAAACGGATTTAAATTCCTATCAATTCTCGGATCATCATATGCAACGAAAATATAAGGGCAGAGGCGTTGGTGCGGACGATCTTCTGTGGCGCTTGTTTTTCAGGTGCTGAGGAGGCCAAGCACTGGAAGGAGACGGCGGGACGCCCGCGCCAGAAAATAAAATAGCAAAAATAAACGTCGGATAGATTAGAATGTACTCGGCTTCTGACGGCAGGTTTTTCCCCATTCAGGGTTTTTTTCCTGAGCCGTACCTTATGGTCTCTTTTCCGCGGCTTTGATGAGATGGAGAGACCATTTGGGGTGAATACCAGAATTCGAAAGATTAGAACGCGAAAGGATGTAGGTATTGTAATGGCTTAAAGGCCGTCGGCCTAGCCACATAGGATCAAGTAAGCTAATTTGTCTGTAATAATTACCTATTAAATAAATAAATAAATAACAGATTTAAATAGTATTGTAATAAAAAATGATGACCGAATGATGATCGTAAAATCAAAAGAGAAATGCGTTTAATTTAAAGGTACAAAAAAGATGATAACATATTTTAAACTGATAACGATCGCATTAACCATCACATCACTATGCGATGATGAAGATGAGCATAATTCTATACAAAATATAAATCAGAGTACTGTAATTTAATTTATTGTCGATTTTATTTTATTTATTTACTTCTGCAATAAACAGTAACAAAAGGACATATTTGTCGTACGGGTGAGAATATTTATCTGTGCATGTTTTCTGAGGTTCCAAAATCCTACTTTGTTTACTATGCAGAGTTGAATGATGAATAAAAGTAGCGAAACCAAACGAGGCTAGAGAAATTTGAAAACTACATTTTCACTCCCTAGTTACAGGTCAGAATCAGATTTTTTTATCCACAAATAACAGTCTGAAGGTTATAAGGAAATAATCTAAAGACTAATACCTGAAGCATTTTATAAACAATAGTGGAAACGACGTAATGTTTTAATGGGAACTTTTAGAGAGCTGTCTACATAAATTTGGTCGTTAATAAAATTGCCGAAATTTGAACTTTTATACGAAATGTAAATGTTTTTAAGACGAGCGAACTACCTATGCGAATATTATTCAAATTTATAATGTTTATAAATTCGTTGCTCCGTCGCTGTGTTGTCGATCCTCCAACGGGGAGAGGATGTGGAGGATGCAGGTCAGAGAGGTATTTAAGTAACCTTCATTAAATTAATAGCCAATCGAACAAAGGCGCTTGAGACTAGTGTGAATTCAACCTAAATTCTTAAGACCGTGAATTTGTGTAGTCATTCTCTCAGTTAGTCGAGATCCGTAAGGTCGTTTTGAAGTTAATTTACGAAAAGTTACAACCGCTAAGATGGCATCGAGAAACCGATCTCGTATTTTCAAAAAAACGGTTCTTATGGCTCGCTGCTGTTGATGTTGGTGATGACTACGAATGCCATGCTGTGCTGCCGATAGAAAATGAGGAAATAGGTTTAAACTTTAATGAAGATAGTGAGGGGTAAGTAAAGAATGACATGAATTCTTATGGTTTGAATGAAATACGTTGTGGTATGTCAAGCTAACCACTTCCCAATCACATAGTATAACCGCCCATATCTAAAAACGGATTGGCATCCTTCGAGTGTACTTAGACGCTGTCGCCTCACACGCTGTTCCAATCACAGACACAGAATAGGCTGGTGGGAATAACGAAATACGATTTAACTTTCCGAAAAACTTGTTAGAGTTCTCTCTAGACGCTGACTGTTCGGGACCTTCTCCGGCGCCGCGGACGACGCGCAGTTGGCAACCGTGGACGCCTGCACGCAGGATGCAGGCACTGGAGGGGCGCAGCGCGCGGAGGGGGCGTGGCGGGGAGCGGCCGGAAGAATGGTGGCGTACACGT